CACTGACCGAACCCCCGGACTCCACTTCGCACCGCCGAGCGAGGTACCACCCCGCCCCTCTCCCTTCTCATTGGTCCGCCTGCCTCATTCCGCCTTTCTATTGGTGGTTCGCCCCGTCGCTCAGCCGCCGCCCTTCCCTTGTGTGTGTGTGTGTCCCCCTCCCTCCCTTCCCCGAGCGCGCACCTGTTCGCGCCGCCTTAAAGGGACAGCGCACCCCGCTTTTCAACCACGTGACGAGGCGGCACAGGCAGAGCCCCGCACCCCCGACTTCCCCCAAAATTGCCCGAATCGTGCTGTCCCTCCCCTAGAGACCCCCCAGCCCTGGGGAGAGGGAGGGGAAGGGGGGGAATATCGCGTATTATAATTAATATCATTATAATTAACAATTGATTTCCCCCTGGGGTAACAGCCCTCGGGAGGGACACGAGGGGACCCTCGTGGGGATGGCGAGGACACGGGAGATTCGGAGCTTCCCTCTGGCCCCAAATTTGCAGAAATCACTCCAAAACAGGGTAGTGTCGAGACACTGTCCCCGACGACCTCATCAACACGGGGAAGTGAAGTCTGAAACCCCAACAATTCCCTTCTCTGTGGCTAAAATCTGCCACTTCGGTGGATTTCTTCATATTTGCCTTTATTTTCGGGTGTGCAGCGGGACTCCTGGATATTCTTGTATTTATTATGATGTTTATTATTATTTATCTACTGTGCCAGGGTTCATGGAGGCTGGAGAGCCCCGGGGAGCAGCTGCTGGCACAGCTCTTCCTGGAGGAAGGTGAGAGCTTCGGGCAGAGGAACCGAAAACAAAAAATCCCCTTCTTCCTTTTAGGGTCACCAAGGTGCCACCGCAGTGATGACACACAGCCCACGTCACCAAGGAGCCCGGCTGCAGGTCCCACCACCCAGGGAGGTGTCTGGAAGAAGCCCCCGGGACCCCAAAAATGCAGTGGTTGATGCCCGTGGGTCTCCAGAGAGCCCCCACAGGCAGCCCACGAGGTCTTGGGGGGGGTGAACTCTCGCTGGTCCCCACAGAAGTGCTTCTGCCCCAGTGATGAAGAAGAAGGTGGCCATGTTGGCCCATGGGTGCACTGTCCTCCCACCAGATCTACCTGTCTGTCTGTCAGAGCTGTAGGTCCACCCATCAGATCTACATGTCCACCCATCAGATCTGTGTGTCTCCCATCAGATCTCCAACCACTGGATCTGCATGTCTGCCAACAGATCTACATGTCTACCCAACAGATCTATGTGTCTACCAACAGATCTACATGCCCAACCATCAGATCTCCATGTCCACCCAACAGATCTATGTGTTCACCCATCAGATCTGTACATCCACCCACCAGATCTACACATCTGCCATAGATCTGTGTATTGACCCCCAGATCTACCTGTCTGTCTGTCAGAGCTGTAGGTCCACCCATCAGATCTACATGTCCACCCATCAGATCTGTGTGTCTCCCATCAGATCTCCAACCACTGGATCTGCATGTCTGCCAACAGATCTACATGTCTACCCAACAGATCTATGTGTCTACCAACAGATCTACATGCCCAACCATCAGATCTCCATGTCCACCCAACAGATCTATGTGTTCACCCATCAGATCTGTACATCCACCCACCAGATCTACACATCTGCCATAGATCTGTGTATTGACCCACCAGATCTTCATGTTCACCCATCAGATCTATACATCCACCCACCAGATTGACACCTCTGCCATAGATCCATGTGTTGACCCATCAGATCTACACGTTGACCCATCAGATCTAGACATCCACCCACCAAATCAACACATCTGCCATAGATCTGTGTATTGACCCACCAGATCTTCGTGTTGCCCCATCAGATCTAGACATCCACCCACCAGATCGACACATCTGCCATACATCTCCATGTCCACCCACCAGATCTCTGTGTTCACCCACCAGGTCTTCACCACATCACCCATCCCCTGCTCAGGTAAAGAGCTCCCCATGGCCACCAGCACCAAGGGCTTGGGGGGCCCTAACAGGGACCTCTGGGAGGTCCCACCACCGGATCACTTGCTCTCCCTAGTGACAGTGACATTTGTCTCCTTCCCACCGGCACCATCGTCCCCAGATCCCATGACAATGGCAGAAAGTGGCTCTGCGATGCCACCAGGCAGGTCCACATGAGTGAGTCCCCATGGATGTCTCCTCATGGATGTGACCCCATAGATATGTCCCCATGGATGAGTCCCCACAGGTGTCTCCTCATGGATGTGTCCCCATGGATGTCTCCCCATGGACATGTCCCCATGGATGTCCTCCCATAGACAAGTCCCCATGGATGTTTCCCCATTGATGTGTCCCCATGGATGTCTCCCCATGGCTGTCTTGTCATGGATGTCCTCCCATAGACAAGTCCCCATGGATGTTTCCCCATTGATGTGTCCCCATGGATGTCTCTCCATGGATATGTCCCTGTGGATGAATCCCCACGAATGTCTTCTCATGGCTGTCTCCCCATGGACAAGTCCCCAGATGTCTCTCCATGGATATGTCCCTGTGGATGAATCCCCACGAATGTCTTCTCATGGCTGTCTCCCCATGGACATGTCCCCATGGATGTCCCCCCATAAACAAGTCCCCATGGATGTTTCCCCATTGATGTGTCCCCACTGATGTCTCCCCATGGACATGTCCCCGTGGATGAGTCATCACAAATATCTCCTCATGGATGTGACCCCATAGACAAGTCCCCATAGATGTCTCCCCATTGATGTGTCCCCATGGATGTCTTTCCATGGATATGTCCCTGTGGATGAATCCCCACGAATGTCTTCTCATGGCTGTCTCCCCATGGACAAGTCCCCATGTATGTGTCCCCGTGGACAAGTCCTCATGAATATCTCCTCATGGATGTGTCCCCATGGACGAGTCCCCATGAATGTGACCCCATAGACAAGTCCCCATCGATGCGTCCCCATGGATGTGTCCCTGTGGACAAATCCTCACGAATATCTCCTCATGGATGTCCCCCCATAGACAAGTCCCCATGGATGTTTCCCCATTGATGTGTCCCCATGAACATGTCCCCATGGATGTACCCCCATAAACAAGTCCCCATGGATGTTTCCCCATTGATGTGTCCCCATGGATGTCTCTCCATGGACATGTCCCCGTGGACAAG